GTCGGCTGCACACCTCAGGGTCACGTTGTCACCAAGCCGCAGGGACAGGAGCCCAGATGGGTTCATGAAAGCAGCATCCGGACCGTCTGCAGGGACAGCGAGGGGTGACAGTGCTCACAGCCACCACAGAGCCAGCTGCACCCCAGGGTGTTATATCTTCCCCAACGCCGACTCCAGAGCCAGGTTCATCCCAGGGTGTGATACACGCCTGGACACCCACCCCAGAGCCAGCTGCACTGTGTCCAAGCCGCAAGGCCTGGGGTGGGCAGCACTCACAGGTCACAGTGACGGTGACGGGCTCGCTCCGTGCTGTGCTGATGGGGTTCCTGACCTCACATGTATAGTTGCCAGCATCATCCCGCCGGACCCGCGCCAGCAGCAGCGAGAGGTTCCCTGGGGACATCTCCACATGGCCATCGAGGCTGAGGACAGTGCCATCACGGTACCAAAGCAGCATCCTGGTGCTGGGTGAGCGCTCGCCAAAGAGTTCGAGGATCCCGTTCTCCGGCACCGTGGTCCTGCGGCTCGTCACCGTGGGCCGTGCCAGCTCCCCTGCACCGGGAGGACAAAGGTCACACCACCAGGATCCCAGCCTCAGATCCGTGGGAGCCCATGGGCCGATTAATCATTAATGGGGGTTTCCTACCTGCAGCACCCTCTGCCCTACCAGACTTTGGCCCTGAATACAGTGCCACAGAGCATTGCTGCCACCTGCCCTGGTGCTGGGTGTGGCCCCAAGCACCCCAGCACCCCGTGGTGCACAAGCGGGGGCCAGGGGACAGGGGGACCACACAGTTGGATGGGAACGGCTGGCCCTGACCCCGATTGCTCCCCCAGGGTCAGCAGGATGGGGCCAGTGAGTCTGGGTGAAGAGGGGTGGCAGTGCAGGCAGCACCAGGGCATGTCCATGAGGTGCCCAGGACCTGTTGGAACTGAGACCCAGCCTGCTCAGGTCACCTACAACGGGGGCAGGGGACACTCACCGTACACCCTCAGGTTCACCCCACGAAAGATGAAGACCCCAGGGCCTTGCACCTGCAGAGTGTAGGAACCACTGTAGTTCAGCATGAGACCCACGATGCTGAGCGAGCAGCCAGGCCCCAGCATCTCACGCCCTGTGTAGCTGCTGCCCGTGCTTGGTTGCTCCTGGTCCAAGAGGTGCCAGAAGATGGTGCGGCTCTGGCGGAGCCAGCCACATAACGTGGCATTGGGGGGCGGCGGCGGCTGGGGGGTCAAGGTCACGGTTCCCCCCACCACGGGCGCTGGAGGCAGGTCTGGGGTGATGATGATCTGGGTCTGAGCTAATGCTGGGGTGGGGCAGGAGCCCAGGATGGCAGCTGTGGGGAGCAGAGGCGATGGTGGGTCAGAGCACATGCCTGTGACACATGCATGTGCCAAGGCAGGCTCTTTAGGGGTCCCCACAGCACAAGGGGGCCTGGGAGGTACCCCTGTCTCCATGTAAATGGGGTGCCTCCCACCCCCACAAACACCCCAGCTCTGACCCTCGCCCCAGTGCCCAGGGGTGGGGGGACAGGGAAGACCCCCAATCTCGATGTTACCACCCCGGGAACCCCCAGGATGCACTCACCTGCCAGCAGCAGCCCCAGCCACTGCCCACCACATGCGGGACGGCTGTGGGTCCCACGCAGGCCCCCCATGGCCAGTCAGGTGTGCCCAGATGCCTGGGTCCCACGGAGCAGCAGTGGCACCTTTGCAGTGCCTGCACACCTGCCTGGGCTTAGCACTATGGGGTGGGCGGCCGCTGTGCTCCCACTCTGGGGCCGGGCTTCCTCCAGCTCCGGGGCGGCCCCTCGCCAGCCCCCGCCCCCTCTTGCCCAACTCCAGACCCGCAGCCCCTGTGCCACTGGTGCCCCTGGTGACAGGGACACAGCAGTGCACATACTGGCACAGGCAAGCAAGGCACAGCACAGGCACGTGTGCATCTCAGGCATGCGTACGACTGCAGCACACGTTCATGCGTCTGTGTCCCTGCCGCCCACCCCAGAGCAAGCCACATCCCAGGGTGTGATACTCGACCCGACACCCACCCCAGAGCCAGCCAGGGCCGGGGGCAGCCGATACTCACAGATCACGGTCGTACTGACCCCCTTGCTCTGCGCTGCGCTGACCTCGCAAGTGTAGTTACTGGCGTCGCCCCGGCCGACCCCTGCGCCATCAGCAGCTGCTTTTCCACTCAGCCGCCAGGCGCCAGGACAGAGCCATCCCAGTCCCTCAGCAGCCCCTCGCTGCCGGGGGGGGGGCCTCGCACGTGAGCTCGAGGGTCCCGTTCTGCAGCACCACGACATTGGGGGCCGTGATGTTGAGTTACAACAGCGTCTTCATGCCGATGGGGCAAATGGCACGTTCCCAGGGTCCCTCCCAGCCCCCCTGGTCCCTCCAACACTGCCCCCCTGCCGCCCGGGGGGCCCCCCACCCCGAGGCCACCACACTAGGGCCCCCTGCCCGCAGCCGCC